TGCCTTTTACCTTATGGGAATGCATATTTTATTGGAAATCTTGACGTTGTGTTTGGGGTTTCCATGTAGTTCTCCTCTGTTGTTGTACATGGGACTTTGAGGATGCAGAACAGCAATAAGAGTGTAATGGGCAAATGATACTATTGAGATTCACCTCAGTAGCTCACCTCAGAACCTCACTACTGAGGTTCACCTCACGTCTGCAGGACATTCCAGTACAATATGGCACGCTAAAAGGTATGTCAGAAAATGCATGAGCAGGGAATGAAGGGAAATGAAAAGAGTGTGTGACAGTGAGGTTATAGCAGAGGTGACTGTGCTCACTTCACTGCACCTGCATGGCTTAGTTTTTGCATGGCTTCAGAAAGAAAGCCTGCCTTCTTGCTGTCTTGGAATTCAGTGAAGAAAAGCTGATTTTATGTCCTATCCATTCGGCAGTGCTTTCTCAGTTAACTCATAAATGGCAGGGATTAAGAAAAAGGTGGAGAAGAACATCTCTAAATTTTCTGGTGAAAAATAAGTCATAGATTTATATTCATAAAGTTTTCGTTGGCATTTGTCAATAAGAGAAAGCACATAGAAAGCAATTGTTTTTCATACATACCAATGACAAGATACTTGGCTTTCCATATTTATTCTATAGCACGTTGTTACTTGCAGCAATGCAGAGTGGGTCCATTTAGGGGAGGTGAGTGAGGAAGGGAGGGAAATGCTAAATCCTGTTAGAGTTTGCAGTGCTTTTTGGGCTGGGAATAAAAACTTCAGCAGAAAAATTAATCTGCACATTTATTCCTATATTTTTTTCCTTTATAAAGCTATACTTAAGTAGTGCATTCATATGGTAAATGTAATTTTTCAGTTGGCTCAGTTTGGATATTCAATAAATATTCTCCATGGTGCTTGTGACCGTATTGAGATTTTATTCAAGAGCCATTGAAATAAGCACCACAAGAGGAAAATCTGGTATTTTTGTTTTGTTATACTTTGTTTAGGCCACATGGACAATGCTGTTCTTCATATTTGTAATACCTTTCAAACGTATTTCAATGAATTCAGAAAATACACAATAGAACTAGAAGATCCAGTGTTAATGGCTTGTTACGATATTGTGGATTTAGGTGCTAACAAAGCCTAACATAATTGTTTTAATTAACTAAATTGCTTTTTCTCAGTAATATGGTTAGAAACGTGTGTGGTTGTTTCTGAAGGACCTTGTACCAGTGTTCTTCCTTTATAACAAAGTCATAAAGAAGAGGCAAGTTTCAGCTTATTTACACAACAAAACTACCATATCCTTTAGAAGTAAGTGAGAAAATGTGTCTACCCTACAACGTTTAATCTTCTAAAGACTTATATGCATGATTGTCCTTGTTTAGGCAGATGTTCTATCGCCCAGTGACCTACCCGGGGAAGCAGGCCTTGGGAGCAGCACAATGGGCAAGATGCTCTGGGGATGATGACTGTAGAGGAAAAAGGGCTGTCCCCAGCAAACTCCCCAGTTTGTAGTGAGCGTCACATTTATGGTGTGGAATACTCCTGTTGACCAGCTTGGGTCAGCTGCCCTGGCTTTCACTCCTCCTAGTTTCTGCATCTGGCTAACTCAAAACTGCTAAAAACCTTGATCACCACAGCAACATGCATACCAGTGCTGGCCAAAAACTAAAACAAAGAGACTTGATTCCCATGAAATTCAGTACTATAGTTTTCTGAACGATGCACCTTTCCTGACTAGAAAACTGATTCTATGATTCTATCTCAGTGAAACCAGGACAATGCTTTGTCTTTCCACATGCATACAGCAGACAGGTGACAGCCTTTAAGAGCATATTTTAAAGAGCAAGAAAATAATAAAACCCAAGCCTGGAATTTGGCATGTACTTTTTTTTTTTAGTAACAGGCAGATGAAATTTGTCTGTGATGTGAGTGGTGGAAGAAACTTTGCTTCCATGGGTCACCAGTAGTAATTTGTGTTTTTTAATGGTAACAAATATGTGAGATAACTTAGAAAAAGGAGCACTTAAGGCAGAAGTATTCATTCACTGGGATAGTATGACATGTGAAGGAAGAGAGACAATTTTGTAGCCGGAATGAAAATAAGAAAGGATCAATAGTATAAATAAAAATAGGCTAGACATGGAATAGCACACACAGTGAATGGGGACTTCTCTATGGAAATCCAGCCTTTCCACAGGCTTCATGTCCTGTGTGAATTTGTCTTTATGTTCTGGGAAGATCTTTTTTCCCATAATTTTTATTAAAAAAATTGTCTGCTTCTGAACAGTTTACTGTGTTATTTTTCAGCACTGTGGTCTGTGGTTGTATTTTTGTTGGTATAGGTTATGTATTTTGTATAATTTGCTTGCTGGAAAATGTGTTCTGTAGTCTTAAATCCTCAGATGGATTATCCAGGAATATCTGTCACAGTTTATATTTTGGTTTGGCCGAAATATTTTCTTGACTGCTCATTAAATGAGGAATCCTCTCTCTAGAGTATTTATTCCAATAATAATTAAGGTGATCTAGTTCACAAGGGACATATGAATATATGTGAATAGAGACTTATCATCATTTCAGTCACATTTCAGATTAACTTGGGACATTTGTTTCAGTATGTAAACATGTTTATGCACAAGTTGATGCACATCATCTAAGGAGAAGGAATTTTCAGTTCTTTTTTCTACACATTGAATTTCTACAGCTTTCTGTTCTGTGAGAGTAAAAGTGCTTTGCAGTACTTAGCTACAGCCTTCTGCCTTATTTAAAGGCCCTATTTAGTACATCTTTGCTAGAAAGGATCTCAGCTGGGCTATGCGTGTTTAGAGCAATAGTGAGGTTAAATCAATGCAACAATGAGGAGACCTTCAAAGTTTGCAGAGTGACAGATTACATTTCTGTCAGTAAGAAGGTGTTATTTTTTTTTAAAGCCAATGTGGAAGATCAGAGAATGGAAAAGTGCTTAACTGATTATATTTTAAGATGTTGGAGACAAAAATGGTGGAATCCAGTATATAAATAAAGACATCAAGGATATAAAAAAGATGAACAAAGGTGTCCATGAAATAGAGTGAAGTTAATCAATAAGTAGTTCTTTAAATATGCACTGTACTAAATAAACAAAAGGGAAAGAAAGCATTGATCAGCATCTGTTGAAAGCTAGTGACAGGGATTAAGCTAACTACACAAAAGACTTGAATCTTCACATAGTTGTTTGAGCAAGATAGTATTGTCCAGTCTCTGAAGTGCTTTTATCTTGGTAAGACGTATTCAAAAGCATCTTTAACTAGACAGTGATAACTATTCAGGACTGACAAAAGACCTGCATAGCTGCATTAAACTCACTGTTTCTCAAAAAGCAAACAAACAAACAAACAAACAAAAAAGGATGAGTGTATTTGAATGAAAAGCAAAATTAAGTCTGTTTTCACACATAAGTCAGATATCTTAATAAATATTTTTTTTCTTACAGTGTTTTACAACTTCTAACAATGTTTGAGTGAAATTACAGTTCAAAAGTATGTGTTTTAGTTGTGGTTTTAAGCAGTAGGTACTGAAACTGGTATTCAGATGGAATACATTAACAGTTGCTGAACTTCTTTTGATATTTGATTTGATTTGATACTTGATTTGATACTTGTAGCTTTGTTTGAAATAGTTTATGAAAAGGGACTAAGAGTTTTACAAGACAAATTACTGTATTTAAGATTCCAAATGTTTAATAACAGCACTGTGATACTCATTTGTTAGAAATTAAAAATTAGTATTGATTACGATACTGTACATAGTCTTCAGTCACTATAACACCAGAGAGTATTTGACTGATGTTCCAGTTAAGTGTAGATTTTTTCAGTATTTGCCTAGATTCACCTTGATGTTTTCATCAAATATTTTGTTTTTATGAACCTGACACTTTTGAACCTGGAACTTGGAGTTATTGTCACCTACTTTACGTATGTGCCTGGCACATAGATGGGAGGGAGTCTGCACTAAGGGTCTCCAACCTAGAAAGTAAATGTAGGTTTGTCAGTGTACAGTGCTTGCACTGTGCTTTGATAATCCTACATGTTGGTTTTCTACCTAAGATATATGAATGAAACTACTGGTTTATATGTTACAAGGTTGGAGAAACTGATCTTAAAAAAATACCAATCTGTTTAGCATGTTAGCACTTTTGATTAGAGAAGTAGTTGAAATAATAAAAATAAAATATAGCACTTAAGGAGCTGTTGATTAATTCAGTGTGTGAACCTCCAGTTGTCCATTACCTTCTGTCTGCTGTCATGAGTTAGTGTTTTCTCTTGTTTTCATAGTTTTTTTTTTCCTTAACTTTCATTCTGTTCCTGTTTTAAAATTAATTAGAAGATTATGAGATTTATTAAGGAAATTTCAAAAAAATAGACTTCTATGAAAGCAGCATCAGGTGCATTGTAGCAGAGCAGTCATTGGGTTCCATCCAAGTTGATCGAATTAAGTTTTTACTGTGGTATGTTGTACGTAAGCTTCAAATGCAGGGGATGACATGGGAGTAAAGCATTGTAATCACTGTTCAGTCGTTAAAAAAACTGTATTTTTTGGGTAGCTAACAAAGAACTCTGAATCTTGTGGGACCTTGTGAGGGCTCTGATGAGTCTTGCTTTAAGCCAGGAAAACTCCATGGTTGTAGGCCTCTCTCTACTTTTGGCAGTAGAAGCTTTCTAAAAAAAAAGCTGAAAAATAGTATATAGGGCAGAAAAAATATTAAACTATCTTCATTTTTATTATTATGTATCTCTCAATGTGTATTGGACCCATTTTCTAAATCTTTCCTTGGACGTCAAGTCTCTATGAACCTTACGTAGTTGAGAGGTTCAGAGAAGCATCCATTCTGCTGAAAAATTGGCCAGCCCAGACCTCCAAATCTCTTGTATCTGTCCATCATTAGTGAAACCATGATGTGCTGAAATCCACTTTTTGCAAGTATTGTTTTCTGATGCTTTCATAATTCTCAATTTTGCTGTTCACAGAGAGCGAAGAAGTGTACCAGCGCCAGGTGCTGTCTATCTCCTGTATCGTCTTTGGCATAGTCGTAGTGGGCATGCTTTGTGCAGCGTTCTACTTCAAAACAAAGTAAGAGCCTTCGTCTAGCGTGTTTATTATTTAGCTTCTGTCCTTATAGTTACTTCTTCCGTTTCTCTGCTCCTTTTGAAGCTGTCATTATTTCTGGACAGGCTAGAACAGTTCCTCATGGCTACACTAAGTCCAAAAAAAAAGTAAATAGGAATAATACGTGTTCTTATTTCTATTTTCTGATATCAGGAAAGAACAGATTGTATCCTTTCTAGTACTTTTTGTGACAATAATAAGTTTCTGTCTTTTACTATCAGTGCAATAATCAATTTCCTCTTCTGAAAGTTTAAACATACCATCTCTTTTTTGCATTTCATTTCATATCCCTGAATGTCCCTTTTGTTTCTGTTTGTTGAGAACAAAGGTAAAGTCAGAAATGCAGAAAGAGACCAGTTCTCTGCAGATATCTGTAACTTGTAGCTAGTAGCTGCTGATGTAGTTTCATGAGTATCAGTAATGCACAAGCACGTTGAACTATCCAAGTATGGTGGAATCATCTTTACTAAACTATTTTCAAGTGAAATACTCACTTTCTACTCTGTGCTTTATCTTTCTAACTGAACATTATTTTACAGTATTTATTGTTATGTGTGTAATTTGAGTTGCAAAAATCTCATAGCAATTACATGGCATGCTTGTCAGTGCTACTGTATCTATAAATATGTTCTGTATGGCTGTCATCCCTTATTCCTGTTCCAGCTGGAGCTAATGAGAGAACACATACCAATATAAATAGTACCTGCATGAGGTTAGTCATGGTGGCTGAGCATCAAAAATGTGGAGGTTTGCACTATTTAAAAGTTTGAATGCTTACCTGAATCCCCCTTCTTAGAATTCATTCTAATGGGTGGGAAATCTGATGAAGACTACTTTTTACTATCAAAAAATATAAAATGTTTTGGCATTTCTGTCAGGAGGAGAAAAAAAAAAACCACCAACCCTTGGAAAAGTCACCAGATCCTTTTTTATTCTTTTTTGTTGCCCTTGGTTGTAGTATTAATTGTGAGGAGAGACAGCGATTTTGCCACTGCATTAGAAATGTCATTATGCATTTTTAGATCTGCAGAAGTTAGAAAGAACAAGGTGTTCCTGTTCTTCCTGGAAAGGCTTGGGGTTTTTTGCTGATGAAGAGGGATTCAGAAAAGGCAGAATGGGATTGTAAGTTGGAAGAATATGCAGTCAACAACTGTGCATAGTGTGAATAAAATGTCCCTCTGTTATTCAGCTGTGCACCTCTTGGTTTTGCACTGTTGTTGGGAGTGGTGGAGAGCTGGGATGGAACAGCCTTCAAAATACCATGCCTTTGATGAGGTGGTTGGGAGAGTTATGTCTAAAAAGAATGAGTAGAAATAGTGCTTCAAAGATGAACTCACAGGGCAATAGTGCTTCATATCTCAGCAGGAGGTGGGGGTGTTTGGTTTGTTTTCTCGTCTGCATTATAAATATGATAGTTAAGAGTTACTGGGAAGAGTTGAAGTGTGCTTATGTCAGATTTTAGGAACTGAAATTTGAAGAGTAATGAGAAAATGAGCACCTCTAGTCCAGACAAGAGGTCTTACCAAATATCTGAAAGACAGCAGTGGTAAGAAAATAATCAATCCCTAACTCCCTGTCTGTGGCTCCATCTGGCAGCTGTCCAAAAAGTAAGAGTCTCTAGACTGGGTTGGCATGGGGGCTACACAAAACAGTATCATAACTAGCCAGTGTCTTAAGGATATAAAACCCAACAAGTGTAAAGCACCTCAACCATTATTATATGCTTTTAGTCAACAGATTTTCAGGACCTTCTTCATCAGGCAGATGTATCTAGATCATGCACAAGAGTTATCAAAGTGTGCCTCCTGCATGGGGGATAATCCTTGGGTTTAATTTGGTATATCAAAAATTTAAAATATTGCTAACAGCTACAGAAACTCTGAATTGTGCACCCTTTAAGTTTCCATAAAGACACTGACCCTGACTTTCTTAGTCTGACAATTGTATACCTGCTGCTAGAAATGTGCACTTCCCTATGCACCATTAAATTAAAAGTCCTTCTTTAAAATAAATTCAATCTGAGGAAGTTTAGAACTATAATCAAACACTATGCCTTTCTAATTGTTCCTTTTAGAGTAATAAAGAAAGTGCTGTAAGTATTAGCTACAGGGAGAGTACAGTAATGGGCTGCTCTTTATGACTTAGACTTTTATAGATGACTAGTGACTGTATTTCTTGCTGAAGTAACAATACTTTATTGCCAAATATCTCTAAAGTAGAAGTCATAAGGCCCATTTGTTTTGAGAACAAAAATGATAAAATAAATATATTAGTCGGTAACTGAATTAATAATAGTTTCTAGTTTTATAACTGTGCATCCTATAGTTTGGCAAAATGAATATGCATAAACCTAATATTAATGTTAGATTGCATGAACATAAAAGGGAATTAATTATTAGATTGTTTCTTTCAGTAAATTGCCATCAGGAATCTCAGTGTTAATGTTAAAGATTGCTGCAGTGAAGCTGAATATTTCAGTTTACTTACTTGTGTTGATAGATGTAGAAACAACTCTAAACCCAGGTTTTCTAAATTAATCCAAATTAGGATTCCAAAAATTTGTAGTTTCTTTTCTTATTTTCCTGATTAAATTCTAAGAGCTTTGTACATATAGGATATATTCCCAAAGTCTTATGCTGTGATCATGTTTCGCTGTCATTATTTAGATTTTATATGAAGTGTCCACTCAAAAACAGTTATCAAAAAAGACTAAGTGTTCCATAACATTTATGGAGACCAACATGCAAGTGGCTGGCTTTCCAGTAGGACATATGGATATATATGCTTATTTCCTCGGTGTATGTAATTTAGCTGGTCAGAAAATAAACATTCATACAAACTCTAGTGTTGCTTCTATGAATCCCCCCCTGGAATTATGAGAAGCTAAAGAGTTCTTTTTGACATTTTACAAATTAAATTATTCCATTTCATTGATTTAAAAAATGACTAGGTATCAAGAAATGTTTTTAAAAGAGATGTTTCAGAATCAACTAATTAATTTAATTTGATGCTATAATACTTCAGATTATATATCGGTTCAAATTATTCTGATATTTACTTGGCCACCTGTGCACACTGCTGGCTCATACTAAGTCAGCTGTAGACCAGTACCCCTGGATCCCTCTCTGCCAAGCACCTTTCCAGCCACTCATCCCTAGGCCTGCAGCATTGCGTGAGGTTATTGTGACCTGTGCAGGACCTGGCACTTGGCCTTGTTGAATCTCATACTGGCCACAGCCCATGGATCCAGGCTATCCAGGTCCCTCTGTAGGGCCTTCCTACCCTCAAGCAGATCGACATTTCTGCACAGATTGGTGTCATCTGCAAATGTACTGAGGGTGCACTCAATCCCCTCTCCCAGATCATTGATGCTAAACAGAACTGGCCCTAACACTGGGCCCTGTGGAACACCACTTGTGATGGTCTCCAACTGGATTTAACTCCATTTACCACCACTCTTTGGGCCTGGCCAACCAGTCAGTTTTTTTAGTCAGGAAAGAGTATGTCTGTCCAGGCCACGGGCAGCTAGTTTCTCCAGCAGAATGCTGCGGGAAACAGCATCAAAGGTGTTGCGAAAGTCCAGGTGCACCACATCCACAGCCTTCCCCTCACCACTAAGCGGATAACCTTGTCATAGAAGAAGATTGGGTTAGTCAAGCAGGATTTGCTCACAGTTTCCCTCCTTGACCACTTAAGTAAGTCATCTTCCTCTGGATTCTTACACTTTCCTACACTAGACACAGTCTCGACTGAAAGGAGTTAAAATTACTTTTATATTTCATTCAGTGTCAAATTCATTGCCCTGAGTCAAGTAAGGTGCTATCAAACTTGATGATGTTACAAGGCTTTCAGCAGCAAAATCAACAGAAATTTTTTAAAATGTTGCTGAAGCTTCTTTGCTAAAATTTTAATATTTCCTTTATTTCTTATCAACACTTCCCTGAAATCACTTCCTTCTGAAATTTGGCTCCACACCAATTGCTGTCCAAAAGCTGCTTGTGGCATAACAAAGTGCTGATGATCGTGAGTCCTTGACCTTGCTGGGTGATTTCCAGGGTCTTTCTAGGTTTGCTGCTGGAGATGCATCTGCTGGGGAGAAAAGGGAAGGAAAGAAGGAATTAAAATAGTATTGTGGAGTTATTTCTCATGATCATTTAAAACTGATAGTCTCAGACAATGTAGTTTATCAAAAGAATGGAGACTGATAAAAGACCTTGCATATATTTTGCTAGCAGTTTTTGTCCAACCGAGATATCTGTTTGGAGAAGATAAAAGAAATATTTAAAATAAAGTTTGCTGCCTCATATCCTCAATCATGTACAGAAATTTAAAACTCAGATTGCCAATGTATTGTGACAGAAACAGAAAACCTCTTTTAATAGCGTACTTTTCTCCTGAATATTCCAAGTGATTCATCTAGGGGTATTCTCAGCTCTGACATAGTGGATCATAGTATAATATGTCAAAAACACAGCCTCAGATACTATACTGATTTTTTTCTAGGTTTAGACGTTTAAGCAAAAGCTGCTCTATACAAGATACTGGGTTATAGGTCAAGTCTAGTCAGCTAGTAGAAGAAAACTTTGATTCTTCAACACTTTTTATAGCAAACTGGGGCTAATATCTGCTATATTTGCCAAAATATTTGTTCCAAATCTGAACAAAAAGCTTTTTTAATATTCAGCCTTACTTACAAGCTATTGTTAAATATGTATTAAATGATTTTACAAAATTCTGCACTAAAGCAACTAGCATGCTATTATAGTAATCTGAATAGAAGCTATTTTAAACAGAAGAGTTTTGGGTTTTTTTCCTTTATTAGGCCTCCCCAGAAGCTGACCGCTGCACTGAAATATTAGACACTACTGAATTAGTTCATCTGGTTAATCTAATACGGCAAAGTTTTGAACAAAGGAAACTATGGCTATAAAAATATCATGGCTATAGTAGAAGATCAAGCTAGCTCTTCCTTACATGAATTTTATTTCTCTCTGCAGGAAACAAACAAAGCAAATTCATGAGCAGCTGAAAGAAACACAGAATAGGAAAACCTACAGCCTGAATGCTTCCAGCATGATGGCAAAGTCAGAGTGTATGGCACAAAGCCGAGTCCAGCTGCAAAATGTAAGTAATCCTGCCAGCTACAACGCTTAATAGCCCGGCTGAGTTCCTGTTGCTGATGGCAGCACATCGCCATGTTAGCATCTGAGCAATGGGAACAAGAATTTTCACCTCTTTCATAAAACGTTTTTTTATCTGACCTGTTAATGAAAAACACCAAGCTGGGATATTTTTCTAAAGTTATTTCAGTGGATACTGGTACATTTTGTCCATGTAATAAGCCTTGCTGAACTCCCTAGCTCTGCATCCAGCAGTGGAAATTAGTATTATGTTTTCTGGCAATACCTTAGCTCATATGTATGGTTTATATGTGAAGTGGGGGTCCTTGATCTTAAGTAATTTCAAGTCTTCTGATAATTAATGTACCTGCATGAAAAAATGTACATATTTGTCACAGTTAATTCAGAGTAAATTCAAAATCTAGAACTAAATTTACCCATGTAAACTAGTGCACAAGGGTAGACAGTGCAGATGATGTTGTTTTCCTGGGTCTTGAGTTAAAGGGATTTTTGATACCAGTAAGAGATTCGTTTGTTCAAACTAAATTTGAAATGTATTTAGTAATTTTCTGTATATAGTTATATGTAAATTAATACAATCCCACAACCATTAAATACATAAAGGATATTTGAAATAAGGAACTTGAAGATGACCAATTTATTTAGTCTTCATTGTAAGGTATTTTCCAATATAAGTCATTATTTTCTCCCTGGTCATACACATACAGTGCTGTTTTATTATAAACAAAGTCTTTGGAACAACTGAGAGGGATCCTGGTAGCAATGTAATAGGAAATCATAGAAGATGTATTAAAGCCTTTCTAAATGCTTAACTCTTTTCTTTTTCTTTTTTCTTTTATCTTTTTCTTTTTGGTTTTACTTTTTTTTTAAGTCTTAACTTTCCTTAAAGGGCTGACTATTTTGTTTGCCAGATTCCATCAAAATAGTGGGAGTTTAGCAAAAGTGAGCACTCATGCCCACTTAGCCACAGATGTTTCAACTCCTGGTTTACACCAAATTAATGTAGAATTACAATTCAGTGTAAGCAGAGCCTCCATGCTATCACAGAAGAATTGTCAGAGCATTGCTTATGTTCACTAAAAGTCTTGTTTTATAAGAGCATCATTGTGGTCATGATATGCTTTGTGGTTCAGGAAAAATATGCTATTTCAAGAAAGAAGAGACCTCACTGAATCGACATAACCACAGTTTAGGGAACCTTGTGCGATTCTTCGTTTCACTTTCAGTTCATTCAGTCATATATTACTTCTAGCCACTAAAAAAACCTGTTGACTGTCTTGATGGGTTGTAATGATGGCACCAAAAGGTAAAGTTGTAAAGAGCTTTTGTGATCCTTTCGTTCTAACAGATGAAGTAGGTCTTGGTTAACACTAAGAATATGTTTCTCGCCTTTTTCTCACTGTAATCCAGTGCAGTATTTTGTCAACCCATCATCGCAATGAAGTATTTTGTGCCTTCTGAACAGCTGACAAACACACCAACAGGCTTTATTTAAGGCTCTTTCCTTTACCATAACAATAGCCATAATGGATGAAGTAGCTCACCGGCAGCGGTGAGAGCTGGTTCTTTTAGTTCCTGAGTTAGATTGAGATGGAAGCGGGCTTTCCAGAGACCAAGAAGCTGAGGCAGAGCTGGGAGACCTGGAACTTGGCGGAAGTCTCAAGAGAGAGCTGGGAGGCTGACGTGGCGGGCGGCGTGCCCAAGACCCATGGCAAATTTAAAAGTGGGTAGCCATCGCAGAGTTTGGCGCAAGCCAGGCCCTTGCGAGTGTGCTCAAGGCAGCAGCAGCAGTAACGACTGAGGTAAACCCGAGGTGAGGACAGGGCTCTGAAACCACTGAGAACTGCCAGCCCGGTCCAGGAGTCATGGTGTCTACCTGGCAGAGGAAGATTGTACTCCCAGCATGCACCAAAACGGATGTGGGATCTTAGAGGGTGCCCCCACAGAGGGAGGCCTCTATTCAGGGCACAGACTGTTGAGAATGCCAGAGCCTTTCGGTGGCAGCAGGGGAGAGCACTGACCATGGCTGCACACAGTGCGAGCAGGTTGATGACCTGCTGTGCTGGGTGGCACAGCTGCAGGATGAGGTAATGGAGCTCAGGGAGGAGATAAGCAGATTGAGGTGTATCAGGGAGAGCAAGAGGGAATTAGATGAGTGTTTTCAAAGCCTGCTCTCCACTAAAACTGCCCAGGAGGCAAATATCATTAGTAGAACACAGGAGTCCCTATTGTCTCAGGATTAGTTCTTGTCCCAGCAAGCTTCCCAGCCTTCCCAAGATAACCTGCAGAAGTAGGGACAGTGGGAACAGGTGCCAGCCCAACACCACAAACAGGGCAGGTGTGTTCCCTCAAGAACTTGACCACCTTCAGTGGCATTGCAGAAGAGGTTTGGGTCCCTGCAGAAGGAAATGGCAGATAGCATTGGGGATACCTCACGTAGGCCAGAAGTACCAGTGAGGCCAACTCGCCCTAAACCAACAATCATAATGCAATCCAGAAAGAAAAATAGACAGGTCATTGTTGTGGGTGACTCACTCCTGAGGGGTGCAGAGGGCCCAATATGCAGACTGGATCCACTTCATAGGGAAGTCTGCTGCCTCCATGGGGCCAGGATAAAGGATGTCAAGAGCAAACTTTCCACCCTGGTGAGGCCTTCAGATTACTACCCACTTTTGGTCTTCCAGGTGGGCAGCGATGAAGTGGCATCAAGAACACCAAGAGCAATCAAGAGAGATTTCAGGGCTCTGGGGCAGCTACTTAAGGGATCAGGTGCGCAAGTTGTGTTCTCCTCCATACCTCTTATGACAGCGATGGATGAAGGAACTAACAGGAAGACCAGACAGGTTAATTCATGACTCAGAGACTGGTGTCATTGCCAGGGCTTTGGGTTCCATGACCATGGATCACTGAGCCTGCTGGCAAGAGATGGAGTACACCTTTTTCAGTGTGGGAAAAGGGTCTTCTCACAGGAGTTAGCAACCCTTATTGAGAGGGCTTTAAACTAGAATTGAAGGGGAAGGGGGATGAACTCAGGACTGTTATGGATAAGTTTCAGGGCAATGTTCCAGTGTTGGAAGCAAAATCTGTACCACGACTCAAGTGCATATATGCCAATGCCCATAGCATGGGCAATAAACAGGAGGAGTTAGAGGGTGCTGTGCACTGGGGGACCATGATACAACTGGCATCACAGAAACGTGCTGTGATGATTCGCCTTGGAGTGCTGCAATGGATGGCTACAGACTCTTTAGAAGGAATAGGCAAGGAAAGAGAGGTGGTGGGGTAGCGTTATATGTTAAGAAGTGCTTTCACTGCCTAGAATACAATGTTAGGAACACCAAGGTGGAATGTTTATGGGTAAAAATAAAAGGGAAGGCCAGTGAGGCTGATACCCTAGTGGGAGTCTGCTACAGACCACCTGACCAGGATAAAGACACTGACAAGACATTATTTCAACAACTCAAAGATGTCTCGCATTCACTAGCCCTTGTTCTTATGGGGGACTTTAACTTACCAGATGTCTGCTGGAAGTACAGCACAGCAGAAAGGGGGCAGTCTAGGAGGTTTCTGGAATGTATGGGTGACAACTTCCTGTCACAGCTGGTAAGTGAATCTAGCAGGGGTAGTGCCCTGCTAGACCTACTGTTTATGAACAGGGAAGGACTGGTGGAAGATGTGGTGGTTGGAGGTCGTCTTGGGCACAGCAACCCCGACATGATAGAATTTTCAATACCTGGTGAAGTAAGGAGGGTTGTCAGCAAAACCTCCACCTTGGACTTCTGGAGGGCTGACTTTGATCTATTCAGGACACTAGTTCGGAAGTCCCTTGGGAAGCAGCCCTCAAAAGCTAAGGGGTCCAGGACGGCTGGGCTTACATTAGGAATGAAATTATGAAGGCACAGGAGCGGACTGTCCCTATGTACCGAAAAAGGAGCCGTCAGGGAAGAAGACCAGTCTAACTGAGCAAAGAGCTTTTGCATGAACTCAGAAATAAAGAAAGAGTTTCAACTTTGGAAAAAGGGGCAGATGTAACAGGAAGTGTTTATGGATATTATAAGACTATGTAGAAGGAGAATTAGAGATGCAAAAGCTCAGCTAGAACTTAATCTAGCTATCTCTGGTAAGGATAATAAAAAATGCTTTTATAAATATATTAATAACAAAAGGAAGGTCAGGGAAAATCTCCATTCCCTATTGGATGAGGAGGGAAACATAGTAACTGAAGACAAGGAAAAGGCTGAGGTACTTAACACATTCTTTGCCTCAGTCTTTAACAAAAAGACTGCCTATCCTCAGGGCAGCTGGGCTCCTGAACTGTTAGACAGAAATGAGGAGCAGAACTACCCTCCTGTAATCCAGGAGGAGGTAGTTAGTGAGCTGCTGTGCCACCTAGATCCCAACAAGTCTATAGGTCCGGATGGGATTCACCCTAGGGTGCTGAGGGAGCTGGTGGAAGAACTGGCTAAGCCGTTCTCCACCATTTATCCTGGCTAATCAGGGAGGTCCCAGATGACTGGAGGTTGGCCAGTGTGATGCCCATCCACAAGAAGGGTTGGAAGAAGGATCTGGGGAACTATAGGCCTGTCAGCCTGACCTCAGTGCCTGACAAGATTATGGAGCAGATCATCCTGAGTGTCATCAAGTAGCATGTACAAGACAACCAGGGGATCAGGCCTAGCCAAAATGGGTTTAGGAAGGGGAAGGTCCTGCCTGACAAATCTCATCTCTTTCTGTGACTGGATGACCTGCCTAGTGGATGAGGGGAAGGCAGTGGATGTGGTCTACCTTGACTTCAGCAAACCTTTGACACAGTCTCCCACAGCATCCTCCTGGAAAAGCTAGTAGTCCATGACTTGTACAGGCGCAGCCCTAGATGGGTTAAAAACTGGTTGGATGGCCAGGCTCACAGAGTGGTGCTGAATGGTGCTGCATCCAGTTGGCATTCAGTGACCAGTGGTGTCCCCCAGGGATCAGTTCTGTTCA